CCTGGACATGCAGAGCTGGGGAAAGGACATTCCAGGAGCGACCAGTGGAAGTAAAGGCAGGGAGGCAGGAAAGTGCGGGCAGGTTTGGGGAATCGAGAGAAGCTGAGTATTCCATCCCATGTTACCTTCGTTTATACAACACATGTTTAAGCGTAAGAAATGCAAAGGCAGAAAGGGGGAGGAAATGTGAATATTAATGAAAGAAGGCTCCGAAAGTTTGAAAAATAGTAGAGGGGAAAGGGAATGGGGAAAAGAAAGGGAGCCAGTAAACAATCAGGGAGTATAAAATAAATGTAAAACACGGAAACAAAAAGAAGGGATGAGAGGCCTGAGGGGAAAAGGGGGAACAGGGAATAGGAATGCTAAGAAAGGCAAGAAAATGGGGAAATGTTGGGAATAGAGAGAAGTCAAGCCCGGAGAGAGATCCGTGTGTAAAGCTGGCAGCGGGGGTGAGACGGTCCCACTGTACACCTTTTGTATCCCTCACAGCTCCGAGCATACCTACTGAAGGAATGCGCCTAGCCATGACAATTCCGTTTAAACCGGCGTGGTTTAGAAGAGAAATAACATTTATTGGGCTCCAACTGTGTGCCAGGCACTGCAGGCAATTTGTGTAAATGTCCTGAGTTAACCTTCCCGGTAAGGCTAAAGAGCAGGCATTATCCCCGTTTATGGAGGTGTAACTGGGTCACTTCGGTCATCACTTAACCTCTGATCCTCAGTTCCGAGCGGGCAGGATAATGACTACTTGGAGGGTCATCGTGAACGCTAAGTGAGAGCGCGTGCATGGGGGGCTTGGCACAGACTAAGCACTCAATTACTGGGAGTTGTTATTAGTATTGCCCCCGAATTGGCCACCACGCCACTGGGGACGTCTGCCGGGCGAGGACAAACGTCCTCGTGGCGCGGCGGCCTCCCCACGCCGAAAGCCGATGTCCCCGCGCGGCCGCCGGCCCGGGGCGCCTTCCGGAGGGCGCGGGGCGGGGCGGCGGCCGCACAAAGGAAGCGCGCGGCCCCGCTTCCGCGCCGGCGCCCCGCCCCCCGGAGGCCGCCGCGGGAGCCCTGCCGGGACGCGCCGCATTGTCTCCGCGGCGGCTGCAGCCCTCGAGCGCCCGCCGCGCGCGCGCAATCCGGCCGCCGCCCGCGCCCCCGCCGCGGCCTCGCGCCCCCGCCGCCCTTTGTCGACGCCGGCCCGGCCGGTGCGGTCGGATGCGCCGCGGCAGCCCCGGGCCCCGGCTCGGAGGCTCCCGGCGGAGAGGAGGCGGCCCGCCCGGGCCCGGGACCCCGCGCCAGGCGGCGCCCGGCCGAGGGGCTGCGTAGGCCCCGCCCGGCCAGGCCCAGCCGGGCCCTGGACAGGTCAGTGCCCGTGGCGGGGGGTGGCTGGGTCAGGAGCGGGTGGGCGGCCGCGCTCGCGCGCTGGAGACCGGGCACCGCCCTCCGGTGCCACTCCTGGCCCGGGCCTGCGCGGCTGCCAGGCCGTGCCAGCCCGCGACTCTCGCCCGCTCGGCGCCTGGGAGGTGTCCTGCGCCTCCCCCTCTCGTCGGGACCCTGCCTGCCCCGCACTCCCCCGGAAGCCGCTGTGTCAACCTCGGCCTGCCAGACGCTTCCGTGTGTCCCCGTCCCTACCCTACCCGAGTCCCCGCACGCCCCCATCCCCCCCGCCCCCGGCCTCCCGGGACGGCGGTTTACCGGGGGGTGGACGGTCCGTCTGGGGGCAAGGCTGCTGGCATCGGCTGTACTCTCTTGGTAGGAGGCTGCCCATCTTGGAGGGCCTGCGGCTTCGCCGGAGAGTTTTGTTTTTAATCTAGTTCAGTCTCAGGAGGTTTTTAATTGGATGGAAAGGGACAAGCTGTTCTGTGTCTGTCCTCTTCCATTTTTAGAAGAGCGTTTTCTCTCCTTCCCATGCCAAATGAAGGTATAGTATGTTGTGGATTCTTTACTTTAAAATCGGGATCTGTGAGATTTTCTATTTAAATTGAGGTCCACAGAGAGGGAAGTAATTTGCCCAAGGTCAGGTTGCAAACTAATGGCGAAGCTACAGTCTGAACTCCTAGCCCCTGGCTCCTGTATTGTCGGCTCCCAACCTGTGCCGGTGATACCCCACCATGCCGACCCTCCCCAGCTCTCCCCCACCCCTCCTTCCACGCCTGAACAGATTGCACTGACTGGCTTTCAGCTCTGATCAACTTTCCTTCCTACTCCATACCTACGATGTTTACTTTCTTTCCGTGCTGTCTACAGACACACTCTTTTATTCTTTTTCCTGCTTCAGTGACAGCTTTCCCCTTAGATAGCTCCCCTCCTCGGTCTTTAATCCCCTCCATTAGCATACTGGGCCCAGAGGATCCCTTGTTGTGAAATAAACCCCCGACCTAAATACACCATATGTCCCCGATTTTTCTAGGACAGCCCCAAGTTAAAATATTCCATCTCATTGTCTATCAGCCCCAGTGTCTTGATTTTTGGTTTAGTAGATAATGTCACTTTAACTGTATCAGACCCTGCTGTCCTGGCCTTTTCCAGCCATTTGGCTCTGGGGCATAACTGGGTAATCCAATTATCATTCACCTGGGATTTTTTCTTCCCCTCCTGAGTCAACCCAAATGTTGGAACTGCCAGGATTTCTAGGTGAGTCTGAAAATTACAGGCTAATGAGGCAAGGAAATTCCTTCTTGCTCCTATATTTCTTCCCCCTACCCTCCCCATCTCTTATTCCAGGACAGGGCGGCAGACCTGTGGCAGTGTCTGTTGATTAGGGCCTAGGTTTGGGTCACAAGGGATGTAGGGCTTCATATCATTTTGACTCTAGAATAGAAAGAAAGTAACTTTACTGTGTTGACTGTAGGGCAAGAGATTCTATGTTAAGTAGTTTGGTTTCACTCGGTAAGATTTAACACACCTTTATTAGGCTCCTGCTTCATGTAAAGCACCGTCCTAAGCCCTGTGGGGAATATAAAAGTGGTTTTCCCACATAGCCCCCAACATCTGGGTCTCCATTTAAAAATAGCCATACCTTTGAATCAGCTGATAAACTGTTTTCCACTGTTTCCATACCTGAGTTCCAGTCCCTGGCAGGCAGGAACCAGAGCTTCTCGTTTGGCTCGTTCACAAGGGCTGGCTGGCTCCGTAGATGGTCCAGCAGATGGGTAGTGGTGCTCTCTTGGCACCTGCCCTTTCCAGGCACACGTCATCACGTGAGCTCTGCCTCCCAGCCCACCCAAGGTCTGTTTCCAGGCTTGTCCATCACACTGGCAAGAATAGATGCCTTTCTTTTCCAGCCTTAATCTTGAGAAAGTGGGTTGTTTTTGGTTTTGTTTTTAGCTGATGTTTGACTGGTATGTGGCAGATAGATGCTTAATGAATGTTGGCGTTTCATCGTGTACCATTTCTCAGCCCTTTCCACTTCTCTTCCAGGTCCTGGCTGAATTTCTGATTTACCTTTGTCCAGTGCACTCCATGTGTATTATTTCACTTCCCTTAAACTACAGAGGAAGCTCTCGCTCTTCCTCCTGTCTCAGTAGTGATTCTCCCGGCTGGAGGCTTCTTCAGCCCTTGTTTCTCTGTATTTCAGTGGAGGAGAACCTTTTAGGAAAGTGTCATTATGCTTCCACAGACATATCCCCTCTGACACCACCTTTTTTTCTAAGCCAACTGACCCTGACACTTCTCTTCCTGCCATCAAGACCCCTTCCCCCATCTGTGACCCTGTGCCTGTTACTTTCTCTGGCTCAGCCCCAGAATCCAGTCTTTTTCAGACCACATCCTTTTTCCTGCCTTACTCATTTCCTGTCTCGGATGCTTTGGATCTCTGGGTTCTGATCTTTCAGAGGAAGAGAGAATAAACTAAGAGGAGAGCAAGAAATGGATGGATGATCCTATAAAACTGAACTGTTCTCGCCTCTGGTCTTGCGTGCTCTTACATAGGCTGTCTCTTCTCTAGGTTTTCTCATTTAAGGAAAACGAAAAAAGATTATTGTCTCAGAATTAAGAACCTCTACCTGTGAGTTCACGCATGTCTTTCGTCTCCATTTTTTCCTGCTGTGAATATATGAAGAGGGTAACTTGACTGCCTTAGGCTTTTCCTCTAAGTCTCTGTCCTCCTTTGGGCTCTGGGCCACATGCTAGACATTTGATAACCATTTGCCAAATAAAGTTTACCCACTTCCTGTCAAAGTCCTTCACTTTCAGCTAGCAAGGATCAGTAAGGGAAAATAAAATTTAAATTTAAAAAGTAGGGAATAGGGTGGTGATTCCAGTTCTGGTATGGTTCGTGGTGATTCAGCTCCATGTTAGTATGATATTTACCAAGGGTTTTTTCCCTCTCTTGAGTCAGCCCGAGTTTATATTAAATTTCTGCCAGCTGTTCAGTGCCCTTTAATCTCCAGACAGATTTGGTCCCTTCCTCAAAAAGATTGTCTTCTGAAAAGATACATCTGCTAGAGATGAGCATAGGGAAATGAGAATAAGGAGTCTTCATAAATGATAGTTTCGCTTTTATTCCCTTTGTGCCATTTTGCAAATGGAAGATGAAGATGATGATTTTCTGTGGTCAGGAGGAATCTCACAGAAAAGTGGTTGTAGAGGGATGCTTTGTGTTTTCCACCCCCGTGGAAAAGCAGGCCGAGGGCTGGCTGCCTTATGCAATCTCCTCTCCTGAGGCCTTTGTGCCGGGAACAGACATGACTCTCTCAGCAGTGAGTTAGCACCTTGTGTGATGGAAACCAAAGCTGGGCTACCCCCTGAAGGCAGAGGCATGAACGTATGTAGATTTATGTTTTAAGTGCTTTTATGACATGGTTTAGACTACAGTCTGAGTCACCAGTTAGAAAGACTCTTTTTGGGTCTGTTTTCTATTAAAAAATAAAAACGTGTGCCTGTTTAAGATAACTTTACTTATTCACACCTCAAATAGATGCAGGTTTCATTTTAAGCGTTGACTTATTTAAAAATTTCGGTTTGAATTACTAGCTACATCAGGACACTGATTTGATACTTAGAAATTCAGAGGCAAACCATCTTTAATTCAACTTTATGACAGTTTAGAAATTGTTAGGAAAATAATCAACCGTTTGTTCATCTAAGACAACAGTCATAACAGATTCTGGACTTTTTTTCCTGGGCAATAACAAAAGTAGAATGTAATTGACATGGTCAAGAAATGGGCTGTTTCATAGTTAATCAAGAGTTATACAATTAAAAATGATTCGTTTTTTAAGATAAAAAGTATAGTAAACACAGCGTAAATAAATTATTGCTGTGTGATTCATTGTAAGACGGTCTGGGCCAGATAGTAAACTTAAAGAGTTTTTTTTTTCCTTCCTCTTTCAAATTATTTATTGTTAGTGAAAAAGGATGTGCTTTCCTGTTCTTTCAACTTCCGAATGATTTTTTAAATTTAGGTAAGTCCAGAAGAAAAGAACCTTCTTCCTACATCTGCCGAAGAAATGATTGCTATTAAGTAGGGATTGCCAGTGTTCTGAGATGAATCCAGATGTTGAGGAGAGTCCCACTTTGCTATTATGACTCTCTTTAAAGTGAATAGCTGTTTCTTGGATGATTTTCTTCTTAGCAGTGAAATTTACTATAGCTTCTCTTAAGAAGAGATGGACTATGAGATGCCATGTCATAACCAGCTCTTCTCCAGTAGTTTAGGAGGACCAGGCCTGATTCTGAATATTGAGACTGTTGGCAAGAAAACGAGAGTTCGTGACTGCTGGGAGTTATTTTTAAAAGTCTAGTTGCATGGCTATTATGTCTCAAATACTGTATAATTATCCCTAGTTATTGATATCTTTAGCATATTCAAAACCATCTATATGTGGCCTAGATCCACACAGCTATGTTAAGACATTTTTAAACATTCAAAGCAAATGACACTTTAAAATTAATGTGAATCACATACCATTTTTTAAAAAATCAATGAAGTCCACATTTCCAGGGCTCCAGTAGTCAGTATTAATCTGTTCTATCAGCTGATCGGGAGCAAAGTAGGGTGATTGAAAACTTAGAGACCGGTTGCAGGAAGGAAGAGGGCAATGTTTTCCAGGAGCAGAAGTTATCAGGCAGATTGATTTGCAAGATAAGTATTATCTATCCCATTATACAGACAGGACAGATGAGGCTTAGCTTCCTCCATCTCCCTCCTCCCCCCCGAGCCCCCCCATTCTGCAACTGGCAAATAAATAAGGCACCACATCGGGCAACATGGTGGCCTCTCCTTGTTATCAACCTGAAAATAATTAGGGAATTTATTGAACATTTCTAGGGGTTTTTTTAACTGTTATAAATGCGTCTTCCATGATTTTTTTCGTAGGCTAAACCACCTCCTGCCATTACAAGTTCCATGTATTTACTCTTCTCTAGGTAAAGTGGCTCTTTGTTCCAGAGTTTCCTCTTTTCTGGTTTCTGGGGTTCTTCTGCAGCATCTGTGTGATCCCTTGGACCTCTGCATGACAGAACTGTGTAGAAAGGGAATCTGGTGGTGGTCTTGTCCTGCGGGTCAGTCACTGTTGCAGATGGATTCAGACAGTGCATCTGCCCTGAAGGGCAGGCACATGTCTGTTATGGGGCAGTCACTGTGAAAGTGGAAATAACATTTCTTCCTGAAGCCTCACCTCAAGAGCAAGGACGGGACATCCTGAGTAGACCCAGGCATCTGAGGAACTTGAACGATTCCTGAGTGTGGACCAGTTAAAGAGCAGCTCTGCTCTGGGGCTCCAGGAGGCCAGGCTCAGTGAGCGCCGTTAGGGCGGCTTTCTCACCTCTTAGGTCTCAGCAACGTTAGCCCTCCTGTGGCCAAGTGAGACCTCTCCACTGTGCTGAACCTGCGTTATCTTATTCAAGCCTTACTGTGGCCATATGAGACAGGTATAAGTACCCTAGTTTACAGATTCAGGAAACTGAGGCCTAGAGTAATTTGCCTGGGATTACAAACTGGGATTTAAGCCTAGGACCTTTCTGATCCCAGAGTCGTTGGAGCCATGTAGCACAGCTGCTAAGTGTAATCAGTGCCAGGCATTTTATGTATATAAACCCTAATACTCACTGTAACCTTGCAAGATAGGCTGTATGATCCTCATTTTTATAGATAGAGACACTCAGGCTCAGAGCAGGTGCTTGACGCTACATAGGTAATCAAAGATGGAACCGGAGTATGCACCCAGGTGTGACCCCGACCCAGGGCTGTTTCCCACTGCCAGTCCTCCTCCTGTTTCCTGTGATCTTGAGTCTGTAGAGCAGAGCCTCTCCCATCGCTTCCAGACACTTGCCTTTTGAAATCAGAGCATCTGCCAGAGAAGAGCCTGTCTGGGAGCCCTCAGCCTCGGGCTAGGACACCATCTCAGTAGAACTCTTTTTGAAAACTCCCTGATCCCTGCAGGCAGAGCTGGCTGTCAGTCCCTGGTGCTTTGACCTGTCCTGTCGGAAGTCACCTGCAATCCTGCAGGTGCTGCTGCTGAGTCTGAGCTGGCCGAAGGGCCTGTGTGCTGGGAAGCAGCTCCTGCAGCTGTTTGGAAATCCCCAGTGCTCCCGTGGTCCAGAACTGCAGGGGGAGGGTGCCCGTTCGCCCCATTGATTGCTTCCTTCAGAGCCGGGGGTGGCAGCTTGGAAAACATTCAGCTGTTTACAATTCAGCTTATGTACACTCTAGCTGGGGCTCAGGGGTGAGTCAGAGGGCTGCTCTCTCTGCCTGTGTCCTAAGAGACGGCACGAAAGTCAGCTGTATGGTAATGGCCGCCCATGAGGAGGAGGAGTCCTCCCCCATAGACTCCGTCATGTCACCGGAGTCGCTCAGCCCAGATGCTTAAGACCGGAGAAGCAGGTGTGCTCTCCAATCCTCTTAACCCAGACTTAACAAGGTCGTCCTGCAGCAACACTGAGGGCAGGTCTGGGCCCCTCCCCCCCCAGCTCAGCCTCCCTTTCATTCTGCTGGCCAGCTCCTCTGCTGCAACCCGGGTGTGGACCCAGGCCTTGCCCTCCTGTGGGGAAAAGCTCCCCTTTCCTCAGCCAAGTGCCCCAGAGGAGCCTGCTGTCCCAGCCGTTCTTCCCCTGCAGGGAGAGGTCTTTCGGAGCAGGCTGCCCTTGTTTGCAGAGCCGAGGAAGGTGCTCTGAGGAGCCGCCCTGTGAGCGAGCCGCAGCCTGCTGTGTGTCCTCGAGGCAAGGACTTCTTGTGTGTCTGACAGCGCAGTCCTTCCCAGAATTGAAAAAGTGACAAACATTTGGCACTAATACCCCCTGCGTTGTGGTACTCGGGACCCCAGAGTGGGAAGGGGCCTACAGTTTTCCCATCACTAAGACCTCCCCTTGGGCGTGTTTTAGAAGATACTGTCTTCCAAATATAGGGCATCCATTCATGCCTTGATTCTAAAATGCACGCTTTTAGCTACACACACTTTTCCTCTTTTGGAAAATTGAGATCTTAGACTCAGGGCCCTTCTCGCTCTAATCTTCTGTGGTCTGATGCCCCTGATCCAGAAGGATCTCTCTACCCCCAGCCCTCCACCAAACCTTCTGTCCCTAAATTGGGAGGAAAACCATTTGCTTATCTGAGTCAAGTGATTCACGGGAAGGTGTGAACGACTGCAGGTGTATATTTGCATTTTAAAGAAAGTTGTTAACCAAATGAATCTCTAATTGATGTATTCTGTCAGGGTCCCAGCATAGAGCCACCATTCCTCCTCCCCTCCCTTTCCCCTCCTGCCCTCCCCCCCCCCACCCGCGCGCGCGCGCACACGCACACACGCACAGCCTGCTCTCCCCCGCTCCCCACTTCACTTTCCTACCCTCTCCCCTAGGGGACGAGTAGCAATGCCAACAAATTGGTGCTTATGAAATATCTTACCTCCCTCACTTTCAGAGTGGTACTGATTTCTTTAGGGGCCCAAAGATCACTAGAGATGGTGGAGGGTGGCCAGCAGACTTTTCCGCAAGGACAGTGTGTTCTGCCCAGCTTACCATGCTGTGGTGCGGCGTGCTGCTCGGACCAGGTGCTCTGCGTCAGCCACTCGATGCCTCCTCAGTGTGGTTTCCCTGGGCGTCTCTTCGCAGGTGCTCCACTTGGGGTCTCAGGAGCATGCAGTTCTTTGGGAATCCTGCTGTCACTCACCCTGGCCACATGACTGGGCCTGCTAGGCTGAGGCACAGTGAGCGTGACTGCAGAGCCAGGGGCCTGGGGAGAAGGCTCTGTGTTGTGTAAGTGACCTTGTTTTGCCATTTGTCGAGCAGGATCCGCTGCAGGCGTGTTATCACCTACTGCGCTTCCTTAAATTCTTTATTAACTTCGTTAGCTCTGTTTTACTCCTGCTGCAGCCAAGTGAGGGCAGTTAGAAGTCTTGGAAGTTAAAATCATCCTTTCTCCTCGTGTCTAGAGAAAGTGGAAATGAGCCATTGAGCAGGCGGAGCGGGTGGAAGGAGAACTCTGCCTGCGCTTCCTTTCCTCTGCCGCCGGGCGGGTCTTCACGGCCGCTGTCTAAGCGGCAAAGGAATTGAGTGGCCAGGCCATCGGAAAGACCCAGAGAAGATGTTCGAACCGATGATTTTTGTCTTGTTTGTACATGTAAAGAACACCAGAGCTGGTTCTGAGGTGGCTCAGGTTTTTCACAGCTGGGTCCGGCATGACCTCTGTTCACTGGACAGGAGGGCTCAGCCCCTCTGGACACCTAAGTGACCTGAGGGCAAGGCCATTTTTATAGGAGCCTCCCAGCCTCTGCCTCTGGAGGTCATTGTGCTCGTCCAGATGCCTGGAGCCGGCGTAAATGTTTCAAAAGGGCCGGGGAGTCCGGAGCTCGGGCCTTAGGGCCGCCTTAATGCTGTGTCTCCCTTGGGAAAACTCCCTGCTCTACCAGTAAGAAGTGGGCCGAGGGTTAGCTCCTCTTCTCTGTAGCCAGGTACCCGGAAATGCTGTTCCTGTGGGCAGGCGCCAGCCTTGCTGCTCTCAAATTATTACAGCCTTAGAAAGTAATGTACAAATCTCAGCTGGTGCCAGGTTCCTCGTTTTGAGACTGGGGAGACCGGTACTCTTCACGTGGACAGTGAAGACTGAGACCGTGGGGTCCATACATTCCAGTTCACCGACATCAAATACCTGTCACATACTGGACATTGGGTTAGCCCCCGAAGCTATGGAGGTGACTGAGCCATAGCCCCCCGCTTCAGAACCCTGCCTTGCCAGCATAGGGGACCAGCCTTGAAGCAGGTAATTTCACAAACAGGGCCCCTGGGCGGTCCTTCATATTTTATCCAGCCCCTCGAAGGGCCATTTCTGCCTGAGCCTGTGAATGAAACCAGAACCAAGAAGCAGCCTAGAGGCGGAGACATACATTGTGTAATGACTTCCCCAGCACATTCTACTCTGTTCATTCTGATCTGAATACGTGGCCCTTTGTGGTCAGCTTCAATTAAAGGCTAGATTCTACGCCTCCCCCCCCCGCCCCCGCCCCCGCCCCCGCCCCCGCCCCGACGCTCGGCTTTACTTCCCTTCCGCAGCCTCTTGGACTGATGGTGTCCTGGCTTCCACCTTTCAGATTCAGGTGTCTGACTCTCTGTAAAGGCATTGAGACCCGTGGGAATCTCCGGCTGCACTTACAGCCAGGGACTGGTCAAGAGAATGAGGAAGGAAGAATACTAAGAGTATTTCTTTATTTCTTTGTCTCTTTTATCTGGCCTCAGGGCCAGCAGGGCAGGTTTTTGCAAGTTTCACTATTAAGCTTCTTTCCCCCTAGCAGGCCGCAAAGCAGTCTGGGAGAGCGGGAAGCAGATTAAATTAATCTCAGTGTGCTGAGCTTGGCAGGGGGTGGGGTTGTGTGTGGTCATTCCAGAAATAGCCCAAACTCCTTTGTTACTAAGGCAGATGATGAGGTATTGGGCTACAAGATGACTGCAAGGCGAAACAGCCGCAACCCTTTGTACGTTCATGAAACACCCTCCCTGCCGCCCCTCGGAGTCTGTCTCTCCTGTATCCTGCCCCAGAGTTAGAATGGAGAGGGATAGTTTCTAATGTTATGGTGAAAGAGGTTTTTCATTTGTTCTCTTGCTTAATAAGATCCTTTTTTTTAAAACATAGATTCTAAAAAGTCTTTCCTTCCCAGAGTTAAGCATGGGCTCTGTAGCCTCTGAGCTGGTCAGCGTCTCTGTTCCTTGCTGTATTTGGCATGAGGAGAGAGTGTGACCTCAGGAGGTATACCCCTGCCCCCCAGCTCCACACACACACCCACCTTGCCGTGCACATCAGTAGGCACAGATCCAGGAGACAGGAGGGAAGGGCATCGGGGGGAGGAGAAGGGCAAGGATGGAGAGATCCCATAAACGGAGACAAGGTATCAGAAGCTGTTTGGTGATGAATATCAGTGAAAAGCAGCAAGTGGGGGTGATGCCAGAATTGAGAGAGGAATGGATTAATTCCATAGAGGTATTATGCACTCAAACCAGGGAGTCACTCATTCCGCTCCACCTGCGCTCTCGGTCAGGAATGTGACTGTGTTTAAAAGAAACAAAACAAAAATCTTGGCAACCAGATCTCTTAGATCAATACCCTTGATATGTTATGTTAGTATTGACTGAGCAGCAGACTTTAAAACGTGTAGGCAAAGAAGACCTAGGCTGACGATGGACTTGCAGCCTTTTGTGTAGAAATAGTAGAAGGAGCAGGGGGAGTTTGGCCTGGAGGAGAGAACATACTCTGGGCTCGTGAGTGACGTCCCTCATGACACCAAGAGCATGTCTTGAGCTTTTCCTAGTGTGCTAGCCCTGCCCTGCTATTCATCATCTCACTTAGTCCTCATAGTGACACTACAGGGAGGTATTATTATTGTCCTTATTTTACAGCCAGGGAAACTGAGGCTCAGAGAGAGACGGGAACTTGCCACCAGTTCACTTTAGTCATCCAGTCTCTAAGCCAGGTCTAAGCCTGTGTTTTTGCCCATTATACAAATATGATTAGCCTGGGTGTGATCTTAAGGAACAAAACCAGGATAAGTGGGCAGATTTTAACAGAAGATACATTTTTGGCTTGTTATAAAGAACTTTGTAATTGAACCTCCCAAGGTGGGAACAAACTACTTCAGAGGTAGTGAGTTCCTTTGTCACTAGAGATGTTCAAACAGATGCCAGCAAGTCATTGGATGGGGCATTATAGAGAAGGTTCAAGCATTGGTAAGGGGTTGAACCAGACTTTCTGATCTTGTGATTCTATAATCTGTAGTTCACCGAAAGAAATCAGGGAGGCCGGCCCGGTGGTGTAGTGTTTGAGTTCGCATGCTGCTGTCTGGGGTTTGCCAGTTTGGATCCTGGGTGCAGACCCACACACTGCTTGTCAAGCCATGCTGTGGCAGGCGTCCCACACATACAATAGAGGAAGATGGGCACGGATGTTAGCTCAGGGCCAGTCTTCCTCAGCAAAAAGGAGGAGGACTGGCAGTGGGTGTTAGCTCAGGGCTGTGGGTGTTAGCTCAGGGCTAATCTTCCAAAAAAAAAAAAATCAGGGAATATTTTACTAGGCTCTGATTAGAAGGAAATAGTCATCATCTAAAAATAAAATTTTAACTTACATAGTAAACTTTATATTTTAACAGCATTTATTAATTTTAAATGTATGTTTCTTTGCGTATTTAAAATATTTAGGGCTGGCCCCGTGGCCGAGTGGTTAAGTTTGCACGCTCCGCTGCAGGCAGCCCAGTGTTTCGTTGGTTCGAATCCTGGGTGCGGACATGGCACTGCTCATCAAACCACGCTGAGGCAGCGTCCCACATGCCACAACTAGAAGGACCCCCAACGAAGAATATACAACTATGTACCTGGGGGCTTTGGGGAGAAAAAGGAAAAAATAAAATCTTTAAAAAAAATAAATTAAAAAAATATTTAAGGGGCTGGCCCCGTGGCCGAGTGGTTAAGTTCGCGCACTCCGCTGCAAGCGGCCCAGTGTTTCGTTGGTTCGAATCCTGGGCGCGGACATGGCACTACTCATCAGACCACGCTGAGGCAGCGTCCCACATGCCACAACTGGAAGGACCCACAACGAAGAATATACAACTATGTACCGGGGGCTATGTACCGGGGGGCTTTGGGGAGAAAAAAGGAAAAAATAAAATCTTTAAAAAAAAAAAAAAAAATTTAAAAATAGAAGAGAAAATGTAATTATATAAATACGGACTTAAATATTTAAAATTTTGAAAGCAAACTTAATTTGATTGATTGTGTAATTAACTCAGTCCTCCTAGTTATTCATGGATTGTTAAGGAAAGATTTTGTTTTTCAGTTCCCATTTAATATTCTGTCTCTACAGAAAAGTCAAAAGTGTCAAAAAATTTTTTCAATTGACTAAAAACACTTAAGGGAGTCTTTCTAACTTGCTCGTGTGACTGCGTCTCAAACAAAAATTAATTAAAAAAAAACTCCTCAGTCACACCTCTCAGATGACTCCTGCTTGGCTGTGAAGTTTATCACAGCTGAAGTGTGGAGGTCTGAGTACTGAAGGCATGTGTCACGGTGAGCTCTTTTTTATCAAAAAAGATTTATCCTGGTTTATTGAGCATTAGGACTACTAGTCAGAAAATGAACCAGTTAAACCTTTTCTAAAATGAGTTTATTTTTTTTCTCCATGCTACGTAGTTTCTATTCTATGGTGAGATTTTCTATCTTTAACAGGAAATAAGAGCATCTTCATATAAAGTTTTGTGCACGAATTACTTAGATAGATTTAATGAAATCATTTTTAAAATATGTAACACACACACTGGGTTATGCTTAATATCAATAGACTTGTTGGTATAAAGAAAATGGTTTTTTCTTTCTTATTAGGAAGTTCCAGGTTAAAGGCACCCTCCGCTCACGCAGGAGGTGGTGGTGGAGAATGGCCTTGGGAAGGGGGCAGGGAGAGCGTTAGAAAAGTGAGGTGACGAGGTCTGGGCCCCTCCACGAGTGAGGCAGCTGTGGGAGGTGCTGCTTGAAGTGGAGAAGAGGCGGTCCCTTGTGTGGCTCTGCGCAGACACCTCGGCACACTTTTAGGAGCCCTCTGCTGGGTCTTTCAGAGGAAGGCTGGCCAGCCCAAGGAGAAAACGTAGGAAGGGTTGTCCATGGAGGGAAGGAGTCTGTGGTTGGCTGAGGATCAGATTGGCTGTGGAGCTGAGAACTGGGCAAGAGGCTTGCTTGGGAGCACCAGACCAGCAGAAACAG